TGAAAAGTGGTAGATAATCTGATTCGTGGTCATAATCTGTAAATTGTCATGACACTATTCTGAATCAGAAAAAAAAATTTACATTTGGATACATCTGTATATGTGGTTATTTAATTAGTTAATGTACCAAAAGTGCTTAGAAAAAGGAATTGACAGTGATGGGTTTACACTAGTTTGTTTACTCAAAGAAGTCAGACCAGTTAAAGAGAGAGCTGATGGCTACATGCTTCTACCAGCATCACTATTTGTTAGAACCTCTGGCATTTGGACCAATTGCTTTACTCATTTTATAACTTCACAGCCTCCCTCTCCCATAAAACTCCACCAGGTTTACAGGCAGTCATGGACTGTTTAAGTAGAAACAAAAGCCATGTGGGTTGTTTACAGCGGACTGCTTGGATAAACCTTTTCATCCATTGAGACAGCACTCTCAAGTTTGTTTGGCCACACCTGAGTACGTGTCTGGTATAGTCTGACCTACTTGTCATCAGAAAGTGTCAGGACAAACAGTAAGATTAGGTCGGTTGTAATGATCTTTTTGCAAAACAATATTGCAAAACTGGCTGTCGTGGTGGTCAAATTAAAATTTCCAACAATGTTGTAAAACTTGATCAAACAGATTTGATCTAAAAAGGCTAGAATTAATCCTTCCACTGCACACTTGTTTGACAGAGTGACTGAGTGTTATAATTATACCAGAACTTGTTCACAACTTTATTTTAATGGACTGACTCCAGATGGAAAAGCTACCTGATTTAGGTGTTACTTTTATTACCTAATGTACAGATATATATTCTATATACATTTTGCTTCTCATAGTAACAGGAGGATTTAGGATAGAAGTGCAGAAAACCTTAAGTAAATATAAGTGATTTTGTTTTAAAGGATGTGCAGTGATGTTTCATATAGATTTTAGTTAGTGCCAATAAGGCTAAATGAACAAATATCCTACAGCAAAACAAGAAAGAAGAAACCAAAAGTATGTTTTCATGTCATCCTTTCTCTCTCTACCTCTTTTTTTTGTATAACATGGAATAAAGGCCATTTGTTTCACAGAAAAACAAAAAAAATTGCAACAACAAAAGTGCCGCAAGAAGATTAAAAATCTGTTTGACTCAAGCACATTTGTACAGTTTTGATAGACTTCAGTAAAAGTGTGGTTTTGGGCCATTAAATTGAGCAGAACCTAAAGGCTTGTTTTAGGAGACCTGAGGGATCGTGGTGGTGGGTCCATTAAAATACTCCTAATTCATACAGCTTGTCAGCTGATGTGACCAGGGAAGAGGATTGTGGTCTTCCTTTAGCCTGCTGACTGGCAGAGATCAGGAACAAGTGGGGGAGGGGCAATGCTGTCTTTGCTCTGCTTATTATTTTTTTTACCTTTTCTCTGGCATTTTATTCATGGGACTTTAATTTGTAGGAAATGTATGATGAAGAACATGTATTAGTTTTGTTCCAGACTGAGAAAATTCATAGAAACTATTCAGCAGCTTAAGATCTTTAGCATACAGCAACTGAGCTCGATCTCTTTATCTCTCTAATATCTTTTTCTGTCTTTTATTGATATACAGAAAGAGACATGTATAGCTACCTTACAGTACCTGACTTAATAGTCTCAGGCAGACCTTTGGCCTGTGCAGACAGACCTATCGTCAATGTGCTTTTTAAGAAATCAGGTAAGATGACTCATATCTGGGGTTTATTATAACAGAATGAAAACCCTTTTCTATAGTTTTTAGTCTTTTCAGAAGCTGAAAATACAGTTCTTTGTCTGAGAATGTGGACTTTTAGATCTTTTTACTGTTTTGTCAATTAAATCGTGAAGAAAAAGCTGTCGAGGGATATCTGTGATATTTTCTGGTGACAGAAACGGGCAGTCCTCATGCCTGAGAGCTGTGATTCATCACAGACTGGAAAAGTTGCTCAGCCTACCTTCGTACCACTTGTTCTCTGTTTTATTTATTTATTTATTTTATCTTTTTTCAATTCATTTTTTCCAGTTAGTCCTATTCTCATCTCGTTGTTTGCTCAAGGAGTCTCTCCATTTGTCTTTGGAAACTTGTCTTTTTTTTTTAGTTTCCACCAAATTGCAGAAGTACCATATGTGCAGTGCAGCAATGCAATACTGTTTTGCAATAGTTATAGTTAGATGTATGACAACAACAACATGAGAAAAGCAAGATGTTTTATTAGTATGGATGTAAAAACAACACATCCTTATCAGGCAAAATAAATCAGATTAGAACGTTAGTCTGCTGTATGTTTATCTGCTCAGTGAGAGTCGAGGTTAGTCTGTAAAAGCACTGACCTCCCCCCCCCAGCCCCGTTCTCACTGACTGGCTTTTACAAACTGATTAATGTGTATGCTCACTCCCTCTCCTGTCTCCGCCATACACTCTTGAGTTTGACCCAATTCCTAGCCTATCGCAGAAATGAAAGACATGGCTCTCCACCGCACACCGCTTCTTCACCTCTCCAGCCTTCTTGACTTCAATCCAGAACTATGACCTCTCAGACCAGTGTGACATGGTCTGAGATGATAATGGAGGATAATGTTTAGAATTGGTCTAAACCAATTGGAGTGCAGTCATCGTCTGTGTCAGCCAGCAACATGGATTACTTTTATTCTTTCCGACTCTTGTTTATGGGATTTTTGGTCATGTTGAAGGGATGACATGGTTGTCATGGTGACAACTGGGGCATAAAGCTTGTTGTGAGCCGAGACAAAGAGTGAGCTCTTTATGCTCTTGGCCTCACTAAGCAGTGTGCTACACCATCACTTCTGGTTTAAAAAAAAATCAGAATGACAAACGCCAGGATCGCACCAATCAGAGTTCTGGAGCACATTTTCTATCAACAATTTTGTTTACAAAACCGATTTTAGTCGATTAGTACTTCTCTATTTAAAAAATTGGAAAAGATATTATTGAAAAATATTCCTACTCCATAAGTGGTCCTTAATTATTTATGTTAAGAGCAGAGGAGAGAACATTCTGGATGTAGAGAGTGGCTGTTGCACCTCAGGGTTTTACTGATAATTTAAGGTCAATCTAAACCATTAGATCCTAAAATGAGTGGGTTGCAGTTTTAGCAGGTGAAGCATTGCTGAATCTTTTATCTACAGATATTTGATATAAAATGTATCTCTTAAAATTAGATGTATCATGTTAGGTGACAGATATTAAATGCTTAGAAGAATAAAAATGGATCACTTTTATCAATTTAAACCTGGCCTTGTGTATTGAGCTCTCTCTTGCTCTCTGGCAGCCGGAATAAGACACAGAAATGTCTCAGCGTCTTTTAGAGAATATTATGTCCTCTAAACTTTGCTGATATCAATACTAGCTAACTGCTAAGATGGAATATAAATATATAGCCTTCTTTCAAGATGAAATGGTACATAACACTGGGTTTATGAGGTTTTGGCATTTTCAGGAGGAAAACTAAAAATCACCAGTTACTTTTGGTTTTCTCAAACAGGCATTAAGTGGGTATTTATATTAGTTTAAATCTAAAGAGATGCTATTTACAAAGCCCCTTGATATTGTCTTTTTTCATAAATGGAGTAAAGCTTTTATAAATCTCCAACTATTTTGAAGAATCACTTGTTCTGCTATAATTATTCCATTGAGAATTGACCAGTCTAGGATTTCAGATTTATGATTTTTTTTCCCCCTTTAGTTAAGTCCTGATAGGAGTTTGCAAATATGACATCAGCTTCAATGGCTAATGGTAAGCTGGGAGCCATTTTCCCAGTGCTTCCCAGTTGTTTGTGTCATGTTTAAACAAAAGGTGTAGGAGCCTCCCTCTGCTGCTCCTGATCTAAAGTTGTTTGCCTTCCTTAGTCTTTTCTAGTTGAAACTGTATATAGAACAGGGCTGCATCTGAAAAAAACACAACTACCTTAAATACTTTAAAATAAAAGGCTCCTGCATAGATATTGAGTGTAACAAGTATAGCTTTTACCTTTACATCCATAAAAGATTTGCTTTGTTTCACAAGATGGCAGCAACCAAATGGAGCAATCGTTCATTCTGCTGGGTAGTATTGTTATGTTGTAATATTCTAAAAACTAATGCCATATTGTCTTGTCCGCACCCTATGCTCACAGTGAGTCTTATTCCCTCAGTAGTGGCATCTACATCGATGATGTTTTTGATGCCAACATATGGTGCCTAGAAATGTTGTGTTTAACATAATAAAAGATTCGATTGAGTAAAAAACTTGTTGATTTTGACTAATAAATTTTTTTTCCCCGTCCATCTTTAGTAAAGACTTGTTTAATATCCAGTAGTAAATGTGTCTTTGTGTTTGTCCGGCTCTTTTTAGCATTTAATAGTTGAAATTTAATGAAAAGCTGTGATAAGATCTTAACTTCTGCTTAAGATAACCTGCTTCCTCACTGCCATTGTAAAGCACAAGTGTCATTGTCTAAATAAGGGTACTTGGGTTGCATTTATTAATGATAAATCACTACTAGGGTTGAATTGTGTTGTGCCGTTAAATGGCTGATATCTCCCGGATTTGCGGCCTCTTCATGCCACTTAATCTTGCATGCAACTAACTGAGACTTGATCCTTGCTGAATACTGAGCAGTTTTTAAGAGCCATCCACTCTGTGCGACGCAGGCCTGCAGTGGCTGATGGTCTCCTGCTCATTTACACATAATGAGCAGCTGAATCTTGGCTGGAAATGAGGTGGGTGTTGAGGAGTGGAGCCTTAAGTCAGTTGAGTTGCTTGAGATGGTGTCCTCGAAGGTCCTCAATAGGAGTTGAGAGAAGGCGGTGTGGGGCTAAGAGCCCTTTTCGTTCTATCCAGGCATGAAGGAGAGGAGCAGATAGAAATCTGCGGTAGAGATGGTCACAGGTGATGGGCCTCTCGGAAAACATTAGAAAATGAGGCCATTGCATGGAAATGTTGCACGGAGTTGTGCGCATCCTATTTTAAGATGGCTCTACTGTCAAAGCTCAGCACTAACAACCTGTCTCTTCTTCCTCCAGAACTCTGTGGTTTAATGGGTCCAATCATTGGGATGTCACCAGATAAGAAAACGGAAATTCCGGGTATGCAGGACGAGCGGACGGGCCTCAGAGGTGTCTGCGGTGTGGGAACCCTGCCTGAGGCAGAGTGTGCATCCAGTCCGCTGGCAACAAGTGTGGATCGCGCTTCAGGTACAGAGGATGAGGAGCTCACCAACCTCAACTGGCTCCATGAGAACCTGCTTCAGAACTTCACTCTAGGGGGCCCAGAGGCACAGACAAGCGGCAGCCCCCTCTTCGACATCGAAGGAGACTACAAGCCAAACCAGGGGGCATCGTCATCCTCGTCACCTTCATCACAAAACAGGGGCAGGGATCGGGACTCGCTAAAATCGAAGCCCCCTTTCTCATTTTCCCTCCTCATCTACATGGCCATCGAGCAATCTCCCAGCAAGTCACTGCCTGTTAAAGAGATCTACGGATGGATTCTGGAGCACTTCCCGTATTTCTCCAACGCTCCCACAGGCTGGAAGAACTCAGTCCGTCACAACTTGTCTCTAAATAAATGCTTCCGCAAGGTGGACAGGAGTTTGGGAAAGGTATGTCAGAAATGTGTTTCTCCTGATTGTATTAAACCCCACAGAAGAAGGTGCATTTTCACAATGAGAAGGAGGGGGGCTCCTTTTGTATGAATTGCTGCATCAATACTGTTGAAGGTAGCTTTAATAGCAGCTTATCTGCATCTTACATCCACATTGGCAAGCTGTGCTGATTGAATCTATAAGTACAAGTGGGTTTGTTGGTAATATGGGGTGAATATCCATTGGACATGACTTGTAAGCATATGTCCAAGTTGTGAAGGAATAACACCAGGTGCTCTAATTTATAGGGGAGAGGTGACCTAGTGGTTAGAGCATTGTGCTTGGATCTGCACAATGGCAACCAACTGCTCCCCAAGGGGAAGGGTGAAATGCAGAGAGTACATTTTGTTACTCTGTACTTGAAAGTGAAAGTGTAATGACAGTAAAAGGAAAAAAAAAGATGTACACATACTATGGTCTTTAAAGCAGGTGTTTGACACTGTAGGTAGGAGCCAAGTTCAATTTGAAAATGAAATCAGTTCCATCATTGAACTTGTCAGCAGAGGGAATCATGTTGGCTCTAAATTTAACTGGTAGATGTCTTAGCTGAATTAGACCTTAATAGAAATGAATAGACCAGCAGATCCTCAGCTGAATCCTCAGCAACTGTGAGACCTCACACTGACCCATGAACAACTTACATGTCCAGCCTCTCCCATCATCTTCTACAATTTGGGAGATTAATGATAAATCTTGGTTCACCTGAACAGACGATTCAGCAAACTGAGCTACAGCTCTGATATTTCTTATTATTAATCTTATATAGAAGGTCTAGAACAACTCTGGGGTTGAAGAGGAGCTTAATAAAATGAATGTAGCAGATGTAGTTCACAAATGTTCCTCAAACTCTTGTTGGGTTTTGTTTCTAAAGGTTATCACTGTTGCTTGTACACATTTTTTTTTAGTTTCTCCTTCCAATTAGTTTTCCATGACATTGCTAGGTTAGTGTTCTATGAATGGCCATCTTTTACAGCAGTGACCTATTGAGGCTTATCGTTGTTATGGAGGATTTTACTGACCGCTTGCTTGATAATTGTGGAATCAGCAGTCTTCCCTGTGACTGTGGACCATAACAAAATATTTCAGTTTGTTTTGGTCTTAAATACTGTTTAGTTTTTCTGAGGAAATAGCTGGAATTCTTAATCACTAAAGATAAAAAAGACAATAAAAGAAACACTTTAAAAGACATTTCATGTGAAATAATAAATATCCTGCACAGGTTTAGCTGTTTTAATTAAATTACTAATGCATATCTTCTTTTCAGTTATATTCTAATTTATTAAAAACTAAATTTTACTGAAATATACTGATATAAAGTATGACCTTATTTGATATTAGTATAATTCCACAGACGTGGCTGTTTGTAAAGGCAGAAAGCGGGCAGCTTAAAGCTGCAGCACAGCTCATGTGGCAGAGTACTAAGCTTTGACGCAGCTGCAGAGACCTCTGTGACTTTGCTGCGATAAGAGTGGAATCCGGTCAAGGTTACAGATACTCCTACAGAGGAAACGCAAACACGGCGCACTAATAAAGGATGTTATCTCGAGAAGCACCTCCAGGTAGTGCAACTATTTTGGTCCGGTGTCCAGCTGTTGAACTCATAGTGGCCAAATTAAGGGAAGGAGGTGAATAAGAGTTGCTGCAGCAGCAACGCCTACTGTTATTTATGTCTATTTAAGATGCTGTCTTGCTTGAAAAATTAGCATGGTGTGATTGTGCAAAAAGAAAAATCACACATCTGCCGTGAACTATTCTCGCAAGCAACGTTAAACATTTTTAGTAACATACATTCACCTTTCAATGTATCAAACATGGTCCCATAAAAAAAAAGATAATTCTTTATTAAGCTGATATTTAGAAAAAAAGATGAATTGAACAGATAACAGCATGAGGGCGACGTAGAGCTCAGGCCTTGTAGAGAATTTAACTGAAGAAACATCTGAGAGCAGAAATAGTGATCAGAATGAAAAACGATTAATTTCTAGGATTTGTACATTTTGTTAATATCTTTGATTGGAATGCATTTTTAGTTTTAAACAAACTTAGGTAATTTTTACTTTCTTATTATTTGTGACCCGTATAATCTGTGGTTTGTGGTGTTGTACTCTTGAGATGACATTTGAATAATTTTAGATCTGGTTAAGGCCAAATCATTCAGATCTTATGAGTTCAATCTTTTTCCCTCTTTTTTCATTATGTTGCTTTAAAAGTCCAGTTTTCCAGCATGGTTTTCCCATTTGTCACAAATGATGTTCCCAAACTGAAAATTCCAGTCAGAAATATACCAACACATACATCTTAATATTGGGTCAAGTAAAAAGAATAAAGAAAATATGTTTTATTTCATTAATACAGCATCATTATAAAATGGAGGGGAAATTATTAATCTTTTTAAGCCTCGTTTGTGACTCTAGTTATGTAAAAGTGGAGTTTGGTTGTGTATTTCGTCTCTTAATTCAGTTATGTGCAGAACCACTTTGTATTCCAAGTACTTGGGCAAGTATTTACCACAGGATTAATTTTTATTTTCTTAATTAATTTTCATCTGTTTTATCTTTTTTTTTTTTTTTTTAAAGGATTCGTCAAGTTTAGTCAGATTAGATACAGTGTGTCTAACTTTAACTGGACATTTGTTGGCCCTTTCCAACACTAGATATGTGTTGAAGTTATGTCATTGTAGTAATAACTTCATGTTTAGGGTCACTGTCCTGCTGGGAAGTGAACCTTCTGCTGGTCTCTGGGTTTTTTCAGCCTCTAACTAATTTTCTCCCCCAATGAGCTTTAGCTCCCTGTATTTTGTCCAAAAACCCTCTCTGTCCCTGTTAAAGAAAAGTATCCCCACTCCATAACCTAGTTTCAGCATAAGGCTGTGTGTTTAGAGTAATGTGCAATGAGATCTTGTATTTTCAATATTTAGGTCTGTATCATGAGCAAAGCGCCCTCTGCCACTTATTTTTATTTCTTTGTTCAGTCTGCTTGTAGAAAACGGCAATCAGACTCATCCTATTTAAAAAAATCAATGCTTTCTAATTTGTTATAATAAAAAAAAACACCATTGAAATTGCTTGGTGTGTTACTCCATGCAGTCTGTTAACACCTTTTTTAAATGCCTTTGAAGAATCTTAATAAGGTTTTCCAAGTTAACATGCTGATTCTTATTGTAGTTTAAGTAGTGGTTTCTATTCTTTGAAACATGCAAAATTACACTCCATTTCAGGTAATAATAATGTGTAATACAGTTTGTGCACTGTTGTATGGTGGCATGGAGGGAGGAAGGCTACTGCTGCTCTGTAGCACTTTACTTCATGTGGAACGATTCTAACCAATAGTGGATAATACTCCCTAATGAACCATCATTTACTCCATAAGCTTTGAAATCAGTTTGCATAGCTTTAACTATCACCAGCTCCTCCAGCTTAGTGCTGTGTGGGTGCAGGTTGAGCCTGTGGTACCTGGGCTGTGTTTGGCCAACACCTGATTTTTTTTCCCACCTTGTGAGGAGACGGCTGTTAGTAGCAGCGTCGAGCAGTGCAGGCTGCTCAGCATGCAGGTGCACAGTACGAGTCCTTCGTCTGCTGAGACACCAGCACCAGTTTCACATGACACTGGCTGGTGGTTTTTCGTTGCCATGGAGACATTTCCTTCTTCCTGCATCAGAGCCGGTTGGTAATCTGAGTCAAGGTTATTCTTCTCCTCCTTTGCCTCGCTCTGTTCTCCCGTAACAGGCCCAGAATATGCCACTATCAGATCAAGCGGCGCACAGTCCTGCTCTCATCACTCTGGCTGTTGCTGTAACACAGTTGAACTGAGGCTTCCTGTTTGCAGAGGCCTGTTTGGGTTAGATTTTCCACAGTTTGTGAATGGGAGAACCATTGTTTGGCTGTTCATTTTGAGGTGGGGCTGTAGTTAAATTGTGTAATTATGCATCTTGTTTGGATAAGAACAATCCTTTTTTTTAATACAGGGCTGTACTATTGCATCCTTAATAGTAGATTTTTCAATTTTTCATTCATCAGCTATTTTACTTTCTCATCACTTAAATTAAATTCTAACTTATTTATACAATTTTGTTATAAATGAACATTAATTATTGTGCATTATCCCTTTCCTCTGATCCTCCTTCACTGCTGTCAGTTCTACTAAATAGCTACCTGAACTGGATATACTGTCCTCATCCGTATCATTACTTCTCAGTACAAGTACAGCTGTTCTGTAAAGTCATAACAGGTTTATTAGAGAACATTGAACAGCATCAACAGGTCAGTGACAAAGTTGCAGGCAATTTTAAAGCAGGTTTAGGGTATGAAATCAAATCTCAAGCTTTAAACATCTCCGGAAAACGGTTTGATCCTTCAGCTGAAAAGGCTCAAACTAATGAGAGTGGTCGTCAGTTCAGGTGAACAAACGGTGGTCAGAGTTGGAGAGACAGATGAGCAGAAATACCTGGATGTCCCGGAGAAAAACCTGTAAGAGGCTGCAGGATCTCTGATACAGGGGCAGAGGCTCTCCTGCCAGGTGCACCAGAACTCCTAACATATAATTAAACCTAAAATGGTTTGAATCTAAACATAGATGTGTCAGAATGGTCTAGTCAAAGCGCAGACCTCAGTTTAATTGAGATTCTGTGGTAGGTAGAGTGCTTTTACTTTCTTGTTCAGTTAAATAGAGGATTTTTAACCAATAAGGCAAACATCTAGATGCCTTGTCCTGCACACTTAAATCAAATGGTTAAGCTACCTCACTAGCCGAAGGTCAACAGGTCCATCTGAATACAGCACATTAGTAAGGACTGTTAAGCCTAAGCAGAAGTGAGTCAGCAGTCATCATAAGTGCTGTCTGAGTAGTGCTGGCAGTAAGGAAGGCTGTAGGAAAAGGAAGCAGGATGCTTCCTATTGATAGTTAGTGTTGCACAGGGACCTCCCGCCGTTCCAATCTGGCACTTAGGAGCTATAAGGAATCCCACAATCCTTTGCATGACAGAACGTATAGGTGCATCCCACCTCACAGGATTTAACGAAAACACATAATTACTTCACATGTCCTCCATGTTACATGCTAATGTTAACACCTTCATATGTTTTGGGTTTTATGATGGAGAGCTTCGACTGTTCATTTCTGTAACTTTTGATTTAGCAGACAGTCCTGGAGAACAACCTGTAACAGGCTGTAGTCCCGGTTTCACAAACATTACCCATGTGTGTTTCTGTTGCACAATGATGTCTGGAACGGCTTCGTCTGTCTGGAATCAGCACAGCAGTCTGGAGTTCCTCTCCTACCCGCCATATCTCTACTGTTGACTCCAAGAAAGATGAAGGAATAGGAGCTAAATTTTGATGTATTTAAGCTGAGCTTGGCTAATTAGCTCATGTTGGACTCGGAGACCAATTTAACTGTTGCAGGACAGCAGCTCTCAAGGACTGAAGTTTCAGACTTTAAACTTTAGTCCTAAACTAGGAAATATTACCTTCTTTTGTTTTGCAAAGGAAAACGAACTCCATACTCTTCATTATTACATTTATGATTAATCTTAAAAACCATATTTGCCTTCGCTATACAGTTCTTTATACACTGTTGTATGGTTCTCTCTGATAGAATTCCAGTCAAGTACATTAAGGTTAAAATAAAGTTCAAAGGTCATGAAAACATGTTGAAGGCAAAAGTCCAGTAGAACTGAGTCAATATTTGTAAAAGTTGGCTGTTTAAATACTTAACACTGGTTCTTTTTCCCTCTCTAATCAGTGATGTAAGAACGAACTGAGTATGATTGAAAAGTTTCCGGTTAGGAAGTCTTGCATTAACGTTCAATGCCTCTTAGTTGGACGAATAAATGGGAAGTAGTCACCGGATCCATTTGTTTGCCCCCACAGGCCAATGGAAAAGGTTCCCTCTGGTGCGTTGACCCAGAGTATCGCCCCAACTTAATCCAAGCTCTTAAGAAGCAGCACTTCCCAGCCGTTCATGCCTTCTGCACGCCACCCGCCTCCCCACCCAGGTAAACTGACGATTACAGTAAAAGTGTTACAGGAAGTCCTTCTCAATGAGACAAAGTAAAAGCAACCTTAATATCTGTATCTTTTATAAAATATGTATTCTATTTCAAAGTCTCTTTAAAGTCAACATGTTTTGTTTTGCAGTGCCTCCTCACCTCCTCGCCATCTCTTTCTACAAGGCTGCTCATTCAAAGGTGAGACTGAACCAAACTCTTTTAGTTTGTGTCGTTCTGTCAGCGCTGTAAAAAGCCAGCGACCGTATTTTCATCAACATCGTCCTAATCAACATCTGTCTGTGATGCGTTTTCATTAGTTTTTTTGATTTTACATATTTCAGTCTCAGCCACATTCAGCATCTGTTCTTTTTTGCCCTTCGACTCCCGGTTTGGCGTGTTGCTTTTAGCTCATGGATGCCTCATGTACACCACAACACTGAGAGCTCACAATCGATCTTGCCACCCCCACCCCCCTTTTTTAGCTTCTTGGATTTGTAACCTTGACGACAAGCAGAGGTTTTGCTGGTGCGCGGTGTCGAGCACTCAGTCTCAGTGTAATCATTAATAATTTAGAGCTGCAGAAGTGAGCGATGAGGCTTTCAGACACATTGTCAGGTCTGGAAGGATCAGATGTGCTCTGGCTGTCAGTAGTTTTTTTTTTTTTGTTTTTTTTTTTTGTTTGTTTTTTTTTACCCCCGCCCCCCTCGGGGTCTCCTTGCTTGTTGAGTAGAACTCCTGACTTTGCCCAGTCATCCAGTCCTAGTCGAGATTCCATTCTCCCATGCTTCCACGGCGTAGGATTTGACCATCATGCATGTTTTCTCCTCTTCCAGAGTCTGACATTGATGCTGCCACTGCCATGATGCTCTTAAACTCTGCCCCTGGGCACCACGTTGACCCATGTAAGAGAATGCACACTCATCAATCGGTTTTCGGTCTTTTTCATACCACCCTGTCATTGCTTACTTTTTGTGTTGCTTCTTTGCCGAGTCTGTGCCTTTATATGTCTGTATCTGTTTAAACGTATTTCAGGGTTTTACTCTGGGAGTCATCTTCTTCACATTCAGCAGCGGTCAAAAAATATCCACTCATAATGCACCTCCCCCAATATTTGGTTAAATATCCCTCAGAAAGTTGCAGAGAAACCACTTTTTGTTCTAAGGTTGCACAATATTAGGAAGGTGTGCAATCATGTTGGTAAATGTCACAAAACATCTTAAATAATAATTAGCAAATATTTATTGGAGTGGAAGTACTTCTTAGTTCTCGTTGTGCTTACAGTGTTAATGCAATATGGTTATTTGTGATATGTTGTGCTGTCCTATTTCATTGCGCTTAACAAGCTTCTTGCATATTTCTGGTTGGACATTCAACCACCTTTCTATTTAGGTATTGGAAAGTTTGTATTAATTGACACAGAGCTGAGTTTTCCCGGTCAGCTTCTGAATCTTTGGGTATTATTTAACTTTTTCCAATTAAAGTTTATATAATTTATACGTATAAAAAGTATCAGTAAAGTATTTTTTAATTGATTTTTGTTACCGGTATTCCGAACCTCTCAGTTTGCAAGTTCTTCTAATTGATAAACAGATTCTGGACATAAAGCTGTCACCACCATGCTTGACAGTTGGTACAAATGGTTTGAAAGTCTAATCTGTACTCGTTGAAACTTATTTTGTTTTATAGGAAACTGCTTGGTCTTTTTCTTATTGAACCATAAAGCTTTTCTACAGTGTGTTTTTTCTAATTTTCGTAAAGGAAAGTAGTTTTAGACCGTTTTAAAGTTGCTGTTTTCAAAACTGGGGAAATTAAGATACTTCTGAGTGGATAAAGATTTCCTTGTTGATTATAGATGAAGAAAAACGTCCTTCTGCTTTATACTGTCACGATAAAGAACATGTTTAAACTTGCATGTCAAGGTCAAGTTTGATTTTTTTTTTCTCCCAGAATGTCAAATAACCATCATTTCTTGCTTCCACTGCTCTGTTCAGGTAACTCCGATGGGCCGCTGGACCTCTCCCGACCCGACTCTGTCCTGGTGAGCAGTGATCCAAAGCAGGACCACAACTACAGCAGTGCAGCCCTGCAGCGCTGCTCCTCCCGCTCCTCCTCCTCCTCTCTCTCCTCCCTGGAGGAAGGCGGCTGCGGGCCTAGGCAGTCACGGCGCGCTGGCAGCGAGGGTTTTCACAGCGACGAGGACTCCGACCTCTGGGACGAGAGGGCTGTCCAGCAGAGTTCCCGACGTCCAACCGCCATCAAGTGGCCCATCAGCAAGCGACCCCGACGCGAGGTCAAACCAGAGCTGGACGAGGAGCTAAAAGAGGCGGCAGGGTCGTTGCTACACCTCGCTGGTATACGCAGCTGTACAGAGGGGTCCAAACGTACTGTCAAAAGCACAAAACTTAACAGGAAATGAAGTTCCCTTCACCCCAATAAACTCTGGACCCTGTGAATCCTAACCCCTGACTCCCGATCTTGTGCCTCCTTCTCCTCACCTGATCGTTCACTGGCCATTTTGAGCCTCTTTTGGTTGGGAGCGTCCTCGTCCAACTAACAAATGGCAATAGTATCGTTCACACGGGAGAACAAAGCCATATAGAGTAACTCGGGAGGGGGAGCGGATGTTTGGGCTGTGGAGATCCATCAAAAAGTACCTATCCAAAAATGACCTGCCTGTTTTTGTCAGATTTCGAAGACTGTGATTCAAGAATTTCTTTCAAAGACAAAAAAAAAATTTAAAAAATGGGGAAAAAAGCTTAAGGTTTTTCTAACTCAAAGCGTTGCATGCTTCCTCCTCAAACTGTATCCTCTTCCAAGTGAATCTATTTATGAAGCGAATGAGTGCATGTTTGTAACAGACAAAGCCTAACCTCCTGGTGTTATCAGTTTCTCCTCTTTGTGCTACAAGATAGAAAAAAAAAAACTAAACAAAAAACAACAACAACAAAGTAATGCCACTATTTGGAAAGCAACCCTTTCTCTTTGAATCCTCTTAAAACATGCAATAATAAATCCACAACCTTAAGTTTTTTATTTTTCATCCTTTTTATTGAAAAGTCGAGTATGCCAGATCAGGTTTTCATAAAAGAAAATAAATGGAGGAGTATTTTATTCTCTGTAGGCCATCCACTTACTGCACACAAACTGTGGCTCTTTTTCAGGATGTGAAAGCAGTATTTCTCCACAGCTGCCAAATTCAGTTAAACAACTTAGCATTACTGCTTTGAGTAAATAATTTTGTAGTGTAAACCCATGGCACATTTTCATGTTTGGTTAACATCTGACTGCCATGCAACGTCAGACTCCTAGCAGCATTTTCATGGGTTTCCCTGCACAGATTTTTATTGTTGCACATCTGTAACATAGCTCACCCTTTTTTCAACCCGACCCAGAAGATCGGGGTCTTTAGCAGCCAAAATCCATGCTCTTACTTTCTTGACCAAAGCGGCACCAGTTAAAAAAACAATGCGGATCAGACCGACTCTGGGAACCAGAACCATGATGTCCTAATCCCCTTTATGAATTTTGCACCATGGGCTTGTTTATCTTCTGAAGCAAATATAATTTTCAGCTTAAAGTATCAGTTTTTATGAAGAGATCCACTGTTATAGTACAGTCCATGGGGGGAGAGCGAAAGCTTAAATTTACAGTCACTTTAAGCAAGTTACTATAGAGCAGTGCTGACCTCAGGGCCGTCTGACAGGGAGTGTTTCATCGTTGCTCTTCCCGCTAGAACAAAATAAGGAAGTGCACACTCTTCCCACAAGCTTGTAAAGTCGGTGTCAGCTGATTGCAGCCAGCTCTCAGAAGGGAAGTCGTCGATCACCGCAGTTGTTATGTTGGAGCATTTGGCAAGGCTGCAGACTAACAGGATTCATGGTAATCTCTGCAGGAATGAGGGTCAATAAGTGAAAAATGTGGATGTTTTACCTCAATGAAACAGCCAGTGAAGCATATGTGGGTGTTGCCAAACCTTTTTTTTTTTTATTTCATTTGTGCCACGAACTTAAAAAAAAGGGGGCCTATGGTCTCTGAGCCGGTGCCTCTTAATAAATAAGAATATCATTGTGTTTATTTTACAAATTCAATTTCAAAAAGTGAAATATTTGTGGCTGAATACCATGCAGAGTGATGTTTTTTTCATTCCTTTTTTTTCCAAATATGGCTTAAAACAATTGACATCCCAAAATACAGTTTCTGATAGATTTAAAAATGAATTAATTTAAATAAAATATTAGTTTTTGTCCAGTATATGCTCTAAGAACTGGCCGCAGCTGTTTTCTGCATGAATTACTGCATCTGTGCAGAGAAGCCAGGGCTTGATCAGCATGTGGCTCTGCTGAGGTAGTAGGAAAGCCCAGGTTGCCTTAACAGAGCTCTTCTGCTTATCTGCATTGTTGCAAGTTCTCCTCATGATGCTCCTCTCTTTGCTGTATAGGATGGTTAGGTTAGTGGCAGTGAAACCATGCTAGTTAAAACAGCACTAAATTTACTTTTTGTTTGAAATGGTAATATTGCACCACCGAGCAGCTCAAATATTTTTTCTCTTTAGTCCAGGGAGTACGCTTTCAGAGTCTCTGACTCAGAGGGGAAAGTGAGTGTTTTAATCCCTGTCCTGGTCATATTGGTTTGTTGGAACTGGTTAAACTCAGACTCCTGTTAGCTACTTTTAAATCTCTGCCAAATTCCTGGAAGCTTTGCTTCAAAACCCTCCAAATCATGTGTTTATGTGCCTCTTAAAAGCATAGTTTCTCCTTCCACTTAACTTTCTGTTTAACATGCTTTGATCCATTTTAAGGAAAGTTAGCCATACAATAAATCTTCAGCTTTTCTAGTTGGGACTTTTTGTGGGTTTACCTTCCTTATGGAGGGTTTTACTGACGTCCCCTGGGAAGCTGTCATAACTGTGTAACATAACATTTCTTTGTTCATTTTCTTTAACTAAACCTTCAGTAGTGTTCTGATGTTCTGAGAAACCTAATGTTGTTTTTCATAATAAATAGAACTAAATGCTTAAAACATACCACTCTGTAATAATTATAAATTACTCAAAGAATGATATTCTGATTTATTAAGGTGTACCTGGATCTCGCTCGCTGCCACACTGTAGTTAAGTTTTCTGTGAGAAACTGGAATCTGGTGATCTCACCAGTCTGGTTGTTTTTATTACTTTTTATTTTTTTCTGCCACTTTAGAGTGGGAACTATCCATTGAGGTAAAAGCTGTGGTTCCCAGAACTAATACTTGCTTACACTGGTCTTGTTTAGCTGTGAAAAAAACAGAACAAATAATTTGTTCGTTAATCCTCATCTTATTTATGACTTTAATTTATGAGATAATTGAATGCATACTCTATCAAACACTGGTCATGTCAAAAAAATGACTTGAGCACATTTCTGTTCTTTACTCTGTGAAGTCTTGAGTTTTTTTTTTCCTTGTTTGTTTTACAGCAATACCCTTTTTTTCCCCCTTGTTACACTGATTACATAATTTGCCAACGTATGTCTTTTGAGCGGGTTTCCTCAGTTTAATCCATGACTGCCAGTTTTTTATGTGTTTGTTTTGCTTTTTTTAATAAGCTGAATAGAAGCAGTAAATTAACGTTGATCCGGGACGTTTTTTATGTTGCCAAAACTGATGCACGCTGGGATTTTGAATTAAAAGCTTACTCATCACCCTTGTGTTGTAAAAATAGTTTAAGGCTGATTGAGTAACTCTCATGATACGTTTGGTCTGTCTTTAACTTTTATCAGATTGATTATTGGTTTTACAAAATCAGATTTGGCTCTTAGGAAGAAAACAACTCCTGCTCATCACTGATGCCAGGAACGTTAGCGATTTGCTGTAAAGCTGGATCACAACGGCTAAAGCCAACAAGGCAGCTTCAGTTCAAAGTTAGATCAACGTTCCATTATGATGAGTTCAGAGTATTTATGGGAAAACATCTTTAAAAAATCTGATTCTGTAGCATCTACAAAAGTAAAGACATGTTGGTCTTAAAGCAACAGTGTGTTTGCAGACCGGCCAGAGGAGTTTTCACTCAGCTAAGGTAATTAACTCCTTTGTTTCTGCACAGCAGTTTTGAACATGGTTTTTTGATTTATATTTTAAATCATTCTATGTTGCAGTTCCTTTGGGTGTTCTAATTCTCACACTTGACAAAGCTGCCAACCCAGTATCAGTTTGTCTGTTGTCTGCCATGTCCAGTGGACTGACACACCTGTTGTTTTTTTTGTATGCTAACCTCTGTTGATAAAAATGTTTATAAGATTTATTTTCGCCAAAGATATGCAATTGCATTATATATGGTATTACAAAACTATTAATAAAATCCTGTTCTTGTTATGGCCTGTGTGAATTTTTTCCTCGTGTTTCCTCTTTCTAGCGTCTTAAAAATCTTCCAAGTTTCCATATTTTGTTGTGAATAATATGGTTTTATGCTGTTAATTAACAAAGTAGCACACTGTTTCATAGGTAAGAAACGATGAACAATTTCCCCTTTTGTTTAGGACAAAACACCTGCTGGTTTTGCACACCTTTACACCTGAGTGTTGGCCCAGTGCAACCTGCGGCTCCAGAGCCACATATGGCTCTTTGGACCCTCTCCAGCGGCTCTTAATAGTGGCTAAAATGTATATAAAGAGCTAAATAATTTACTTTAATATATACCGGTATCAATAGCTTTAGCGTTTTTTATAAGATGGAAAAGAATGAGATTAAAAGAACCAGGAATATGTTTTAAGAGACATTTTTCTATGAATCAGCTTGAAAATTATATGTTTTAACATTAAAAATACATGATTGTTGATTGTTTGAGATGGCAACAACTAATTTCCTATACAAGATAAAAAAAAAAAAAAAAGTTTTCTAGAAAAAGTCATGTTACATTTTGCGGCTCTAAACAACTTTTACTTGGGCGGACTCTGGGCAAAACGGCTCTTTGGAAAGTGGTTAAAGCAGTGTGCTTGTGCTCTTGAGAAGGTTGCAAGAACCCGTTTCAATCCCTACAGCCTGCACTCTGGGTCCCTGAGTAAGACCCTTAACCCCTGATTGCTCCCCTGGTACCACACAATGGCAGCCCACTGCTCCCCAATGGGATGGGTTAAAATGCAGAATTGAATTTCTCCATTGTGAGATTAATAAAGCTAAATTATTATTATTTTATCATTAAAATAACTCAAACTCACTTAGATTGGAGGTAGAACATCTGTCTAATTGGTCCCAGATTCTTAGAGCATTAGATTTTCTAAAAAGAAAAAAAAAAAAACAGTTCTGATCTGATCCACTCTCTAGTAGCTGTAACTATGTTTAGGTTGGATTCCTGCTGGAAGGTAACGTCGGCCTCAATTTCCTCATCTGCTGCTAAAATAAGAAAATTTAGCAGAAATCAAGCTTTCTTTTGAGTTTGCCAAACCTTAAATTGTATGTGAGATTGAACGTTAAACTTCTTACATGAAAACCATGTGTTTATTTTGTGCTGATAGTCCCTTCGTTAGGGTATATTTCATCTGCATTTTAACCCTGATTATCCCTTCGTTAGGGTGTTTGTCATCTGCATTTTAACCCATCTCCCTCTTTTTGTTTCAGCGACAGTAACAGGGTTTAGAACCACCAACTTTTGCAGGTGCTCCAAGAAGCTATTGCTCTTCTTTCTAAACACTAGTTCATCTGCTAATAGTATGAACTCTGCTGGATAAGAAGCTTTATTGTTAGTGTAAAGGTAGTACAATTATTTCATTTGGCAGCGATGTTTATAGTTAAAATTACACTACAATGCAGTGTAACAAAGTACAATGAGCCTCTACCCTAAAAGCAAACTCCAAATGTTGTTCTGCATTTCACAACAAAAACATAGGAGTTAGGAGAACTTTTACCTTTTGAAATAACCTACAGCCTAAGGTTTAAATACTGAAAATGTATTCAATATGGTTAATATAACTGTTTTGGTTTTCTGTGTGGACTTAACTATTTTAGCAGCATATAAGGCTTAGTTCTTCAGGCTTTTGCAACTGAAAATTTGTTTTTCAGACTTAAAAATAGAATTTAAAAAAAAAATTAATAAATCTTTTTAAAGTGCATTCATCTATATTCTGGTGCTTGTCCATCAGAATCATGAGGATTGGTTCCTATCTCCAGCAATCTATGAGCAGAAGGTGGGGTAATGGCCAGTCCATCATAAGGCAAAAATAGTTGGACTATATTTGCTAGTTAGGAAACTCCTGTAGGAAGTTAGTTGCAGAAGATTTTTTAGCGTCAAAACCAACAGAGGCAGGATAAAATTGCATATCTCAATTTTGATTTTTGTTTTCCTTCCCCTTTGCAATTTTGCACCTTTTTAAGATTGTTTAGTGCAGAACAATCTAATGAAACACGTGTTTAGTGTTTTTAAGGGTGATGTACTTCATTACCTATTTCTTACAACATTTAACAGCTACTGTTAAAGTTCAGCCTTCTCAGGTTGTTCTGCTTTTTATGCTACACCTTGCAGGATCAGCTCTGTTTTGGCTGCACAGGCTGTCCTCAGCGCTACAACTTCCAGCTCCACATCCCTTATCTTTTTTTCTCCTGTATGGGACTGCTTTGAAACACACCTTGCACATGGAAGTGAATTCCTGGGCCTTGCGACGGATGCAAAATCAGATATTCTAACGACACTCTCCTCTGTTAGTTAATTAGTCATGGAGGACTGCGGGATGAACATGGTGTGACCCTGAACAAGGGCCTGTCTGACTAGCCTCGGGCCCTCTGGCACAGCTCTATTGTTCAATAGAGTCCTGTGTGTCGACTGGAAGAGGGAGAGGTGGGGGCTTCTCCCTACTGACTGCCTCAATTCAGCAGGAAATCAGAGCAGCATCATCCCCCTCCTCTCCGCCCTCCCACACAGGCCCTAGCAACCACGCCACGCCGACAGTTGCCAGGCAACCAGACAATGCCGGAGCCACTCGCTGTGGTGTGAGAGAGTTTGTGTTTTGCATGTATACGTTTAAGATCAGGAACGGTGAGTCTGCAGCAAAGGATGGAAAAGGAAACACTTATGTGGTGAAAAATCTAAAGAGATTAGAGTGGATTAGGCCAAATTAATCATGTAGGATTTGTGATGATAGATGCATTAGCAACATATAATTTTACCTCTGGGCTAAATGAGGTCATGTGTGTTATGAAGTGAAATCAGAGAGACTGTCCCTCTTATCGAAACAGAGCATCCAATACTCCTAGTTTTATTTTAATTACTGCTCTGAATATGCAACTAAAATCTGCCTCTTATTTCAAATGGGTTTATAAAATGTGTACATTTTTCAGCAGCTCCATAAATAACATATTTTAGAGATATATATATGTATATACCAACAATAATGTAATAATATATATGGTTAATAAAGGGGGAAAACTGATACCACAAATGTATTGCTTTGTATCGTAACTTTCACATTTTTATGTTTAAATAAATATGGTTATTTTGAAAATCCTGTGTCAACCTGCTTCAAAAAAAAAAAAAAAAAAAGGAACAAAATTTTATTTATTCATATTTGGCATCAGCCACTGTTCTCAGTTCTTAGAAATAATTTGGCTTTAAAAGCAAAATAACATGTTTCACACATTTAAACTTGTGATATAAACTATTAAAGCTAAAACATACATATTTTCTAAATCTTACTATTTAATGTTTATTTATCTCACGGATTATTCTAAGCAGCTTTATTGTTGTTGATTGAGCGTTACTGTTATTGATTTTTTATTCTCCAGATACAGAGCATTATATTGTAAAACACCGTGCAGTACAATACTTTATTTTTTTATTTTTATTTTTTATATATGTTATTTTTATAAATTTTTCTAAGGTACACATTGTGTGTCCACTTCTACTATAACCCTTGCTGCTTTAAACACCACAATTTCCCCATTGTGGGACAATAAAAGGGATTTTCTATTCTATTTCTATTCTAAGCAACTGAAATTTAAGGAACAACTAATAGAGCAACAGAACAGCAGGATGATCATTAATAACAAAACCATTTATAAGAGCAATAATTGTGTTTATCTTGAATATAAAACTATACAAAACTGCTTTGTCAACATTTTATCACTCAGATATAATCAGAATTCTTTTTTTCAAAATAAACACCTTTATATCTTATCAGGTTGTGCTAAACCTCAAAAAGGAACAAAACATTATGATTAAATATGTTTTTTTTTTACAGAATAAAAACAAAACACAATTTTGTGACAGACACACGTGTGCAATTATCTTTCCTCTGACAATTATTGAACAAAGACAGCAAACTTTCTTTAGAAGTCAATTTATTGATTCACTCTATGGATAAATACAGTGCTAATAAGAAAATAAGTTAGAAGTTTTAACAGACTAGTTGTTGAGGTTCAGTTTTCAGCAAGAATCCAGTCTATCTGAATCTGCTCCTTGTTTTGCAAAGACAAAAGCTGAAATTTCAGTCCTGAATTGTGTGAAACTGGCAGAGACGCGCCCCTATAATGACTAGCAGCTGTAACTGCAGAGAATGGTCTATCCACCAAGTATTCACTCAGGGAGGCTGAATGCTAATCACATTCTGCGTCTCAGTGCTTTTTTTTCTGCTTTTTAATTTAAATAAAATCATGTTTTTTATCCATAAATTTCCTTTACATTTACTTCTACTGTATTTTTTAATTACATAACATCTGAATAGATAGTTTGTGGTGACAAAGGGGAAACTTTTTAAGAGCTTGAGCTCCCTCTTACAGCTCTGGGCATAAGCTGTTCTTCACTCCACACGCTAGATGGCGCTCTGCTCACACCAGCTAACCAGTTCCTCGCACTTTGACTTGAGCTCTGGTATGTAGTTTTTTGTTGTTGTTGTTTTTATTTAGTTTTTTTCCCCTCCTTATTATTATATGTATATATGTTTATCAAATAGATAGTCCATCACGAACCACACTCCATACCAGTAAGTGGCGGTAATGCTACTAAATGTTTGTTGCCAACCGCCAATAAATCCAACAAGAAGAAGAAGTAGTAGAAGAAGAAGAAGAAGAAGAAGCTCTGCTGCATCTGATCGGCTCCAGCAGGACTTTGCGGGTTAACAGGATAATGGAAGTCTCTCTGATAACATGTGGATAGTTATCACTGCATCATTATCTAAGCTGTGGCAGCGCTCGCTTTTAATATTGACTTACGGACTGTGTTGGGTAACACGGCTCCCTCCAAATAATATTGCCTGTTAATGTTTCTCTTTGATTGAATTTGTTTTGCTACATAGCTAGGTGGCTGCTAGCTAACAGCGCTAATTTACACAGTTTAAGATAGATTAACTATCCGGGTTGAATTAAGTCTGTAGTTTAAATAGGATAATGGAAGCGCTATGACCTCCTCTCCCTGTCATCATGTGTCTCTCCTGAATAACGGAATAACCAGTTTCGGAGTTAGCGACCTGAGCTAGCCTGCTAGCGTTGAGCTGCTCTGACAGTCTGAAGGTTCGGGCTGTGGCGACCAGCCGATCCGCTCTCTCTAGACATCTTCTCTCAGCATCAAGTGTTTGGGACCAGCTACAATGGCTAACGTTACAGACCTGCAGACTAAATACAGCAAGCTAGCGCAGGAGTACTCAAAGGTAACATAAACTGTCCATCAAACAATCTCCATTAACTTGCCTCTTGCCATGTGATTCATCCAACATCCTGTCATTTTTATCAGAGGGAATTAGATTGAAATTAGAAATCAGAATGATTTTCTGCAACATTTTTACAGCTGCAACACATCACAGGTCATGTTCTGTGATTATACTAAAATAGTAATTAAAAAGTTTGGTTTTGTTAACCTCAACTTTTGCAAACTTAGTTTAAGTTCAAGCATGAAAGGGGTTTCTTTCTATGATTACAATGGAGGCTTTAATGAACCAGATGCAGTTTGAATTAACCCTTTATAGGGCAATCAGTGAAAGACTTTAAACATCTAAATTTCAAGCAAAGAGTGTGCACTGCAAAAAACTGAAATTTAAGTAAGCCAATTTTCTTAAAATAAGTGAATTTTTTCTTGAATTGAGCAGGTAAATGAGACACTTTGCAAATGGAATAAGAAAATTTACATTCAAAATAAGGGGACAAAATGCAGTCTCCTATTTCAAGTGCATAATATCAAATAATCTGATTTTAAGGATAAAAATGCGCCTTCAACTGGGAGATTTTCTTATTTAGATACTCAAATTAAGGGTAAATACACTTATTTTAAGACATTTTCACAAATTTATAGATCCTTTTTGTAGTGTTTTTGGAATCCAGGACAAGACCTTATTACCTTTGTAACATAAAAAAATATGTATATGTTGATGGCATAAATGAATGTCAATGTAATAACATGAAACGCCAACTTGCCCGCATATATTAAGAAAAATAACAAAAGTGCTTCTATAAGAAATGTGTGAAAAACACTCGGAGTAAAAGAAAATTGGTACTCCATTTCTAAGGGGTATGCAAGTGATCAAAAAATGGAAACTTGCCCTATAAAGGGTTAAAGAGCCATAGGGATCCCAAATGATTAGAGGATCAAAAGCAGTTGCATAGTTTACTAATAAATCTTAGGTGTTTTGATTTGATGAAAAATTATCATATTCATTCATATTTCTTAAGATTGGCAAGGGTTAAGTACAAAATTTGTGTACAAAGAGATAAACTAACACACAGCCGATCAGGTTATAGCAAACCCTGACAGCACTCAATTAAAAAGAAGCTTGTTTCACATGTCTAGAGTTCTATGTGTCTCTGATGGAATAGGTTCTCTAGGTTCTCTTCAAGTTTAGTTTTACCCAAACAAAGAACCGTTATGTATTTTTAATTGGTGCGGAACACACCGCAATAGAAACAAGCTTACCATGTTTTCTATGTAAAGAGATCTGCTCAGTTTAAACATTTAGGTGTATATAGTTTAAACTTGTGCATTTGCTTAATTAGTGGTTTACATGCCCTAATTCCTAAAGTGTTTGATATGAAACATTAAAAAAGCTACAGCTACTGTGCCTCACTAAGGTTTAGCTTTGCTTAGCTGCTTTAATGTTTTAATTACCCAAAACACATGATGGGTTAAAGAGCTGTAAACACTCCACAAGTGGTTAATTTGTGATCTGGACACAGTAAAGCCTGCTTGTCAGTGTATTCTGTGAGGCATTATTTGAGCCCTTTGTTTCTTTGTCAGCTGACATCAGGGAGAGTGAGCCATTTCCTCTTCAGCTCTCATATCTCCATTAGCCAGGCACCATGTTCTGCTCAGGAAGTGCTGACTGTGTAACTGTCAAACATGGATGTTCCAGTCTATTGATTTAAAAAAACAAAAGTAGTAGCTTCAAGTTTTTACAATGTTTTGAACTTCGATCTTGGATAGAGATGATCAATAGCTTCATAGTTGGAAATATTGTTTTAGTCTAATATGCATCCCTATTTTTCTGTTTCTGTTTTAAATGCAAGTTTTCTTTCACTAAGCTGTTTACCATCATCTTCCACTTTGTGTTTATTCTCAGCTCCGTGCCCAGAACCAAGTGCTGAAGAAAGCAGTTGTAGACGAACAGACTAGCACTGCCTCTTTAAAGGTAAATAACAAATATTGACCATTGAGTCGTCTTTAGGCAAAGTGCAAAGGCATGGCTTCGCTGCAAGCTGCTGCACCTGCCAGCTGTGTGAAAGGATGCTACTGTGCTTTTTGCTTGTACCCCTAACATGCTTTTGTTAAATGGGGAAAAACAAATCTTTTGCTTTTCAGTTTAAAATAAAGTAACCTGATAATAAAAATTAGGCATTTTTTTTATTAATGTTATGCTTTGAGGATCTAATATATGCTTTTGTTTTTTTATATCCACTGGAAATAAAGTATTTTTTTTGTTTTGTTTTTTTAAGATCCCCCTATAACATCATGATTTCATATGTTAGCTTTAAAGGATTAATAAATCAATGCATTTCTTCTGATTTTGTTTATCTTTTTGGGAGCATATTTGTGCTTATTTTCAAATTTAGTTTTATTAACTTCAGTTTTTTTTTTTTTTTTTGTCTTCATTTATCAGGACCAGCTAAAGCAGAGGGATCAGAGTCTGAGAAAACAGGAGCAGGAGATGGACAGCCTCAGTTTCAGGAACCAGCAGCTCGCCAAAAGGGTGGAGCTCCTACAAGAGGAGTTAGCTGCTTGTGAAATCAGGAACAAAAAGGGGAAGGTGAGTTTTCACTAGAAGCAGGGCCGTACTCGGGAAATTTTTTCAGGCCAGGAGTCAGTCATGTAACCAGGCCGCCCTGGCATGGCTACATGACGGACTGACATCACTGATTTCTTTTGTAGTAAAATAAAATAGAGCTTAGTTCTGTTTTGCTTTCTGAGGACCCAACTGAAAAATTAAACAAGCTTTTATCAATCAGAAGAAACACTGATCTAGAAGGACCTACTCTCATTTACAAGGTTGGAATATACAGTAACATATTAAGTAGTTCCAAGGTTACAGCTTTACATAGGCAGATTATGTCATATCAATGGCAACCATCATAAATTGTAATGAACCCCAACCTACAGTAAATCCAAGGTTGGAATAAACAAACTTTCATGTTTGAGTTGGGATTCCTAACTGCAAGTCTGGATCAGTCAACAACACAATCACTTAATAGAATAATGCTGTAGTGCCCAGAAAGCCAGTATTAGAGCTGAGAGACATTTATGTCAAATAGTAGTGTTTGGTGGTGTTCATGTCACTTGGTGCATGTTTTTGCTCTACTGTAAAAATGGTTCTGTACCTTCTCCCAAATGCTCTACTTCTCTTGAAGCACCAGCAGGAGTGATGTCATCCCCACCTTTGAATTGCAAACATATGCACTATGCAAACAGTGTTCTTCCATTCACTGACCAGAGACCTTTGGGGTCTCTGGATATCATACTGTTTTGTAACTTTAAAATGCATTTTTTTTTATGACTTACCTGCATCTTTTTTTTTTAAATGGCACTATTTTTGTCTCTCCCTCTCTGTGCCACCTTTCCTCTTCCTTTTACTACGTCCGAGTCCATTGCTTCTTATCCTCACTTGCAGCGCTCACTAGCTACACACACCACAGCAGCCGGCACCAGACACACGTCACACCCCTTCCTCCACACGCTGCTGTCTGTGTGGTTAATACGGACTGTTGGGACGGGTCTTAATTGAAATAAACCAACCAATCGTCTTTCCCTCCTCACACGCTATTGGCCAAAGTGGCCTGGCCTGTTTCTCAGATCTGGCCCCTGCACCTGCAGACTTAACAAAAATCCAAGGCCAGCGCTTCGGGAATACTCCCGGTTCTCCCTATGAGCAGGGACTAGAGGGAAATCAGAGTTTTGGTCCAAACTGTGAAAATCAGAATATGTACACCTGTTTGACAATAAACAATTAGGAGCGTTTAATTAAAATTTTCATCCAAGTTAATAGTTGCTGTATTGCTTCCAGGGTAAAGGGGACTCTCCCTCACAGCATGGCCTTCAGACTCAAAGTGTTTTCAATGAAGATCTACAAAAAAAGATAGAAGAAAATGAACGCCTTCATATACAAGTAGGCATCTATCTTGTTTTTGTTTTATCACTATTTTCTCTGTGGTGAGTAAATCGAGTTAAGTGTGATGCACATTAATCTTCTGTATGTTCATCAGTTCTATGAAGCAGATGAGCAGCACAGGAAGAAGGAGGCCGAGCTGAAGACCCGGCTGGAGCAGCTGGAGAGAGACGCAGAGGAGCACCAAGCTGTTATTGACGGACTTACAACAAAGTATACAGAAACGATTGAGCGCCTGCAGGGTGACAAAGCTCGTTTAGAGGTAAGGAGAATCCTATACCTGATCAGAAAATGATTGGCTTTGAAATTGTTAAAGAATTATGCATGTATTTTTTTTTTCTTAAAGGTGAAGACACAAACTCTGGAGAGGGAGGCAAAAGAGTGTCGACTTCGAACGGAAGAGTGGTACATTTACTTTATGTTGATGATTTGGAAATGATTAGATTTGCTATGGAGATCATAGGGATGCTCTTACTTCTGTGTTGTAAAGGTCAATTGTTTCCTATAAATTACCTGGGTTTGATTGGATGCATTATGATTTATTGCAGTTCTGCATGAAGGTTGTTTAGATAACTGCCTATTTGCACTCAGAAAAAATTAGTGTGATACAGAAATATTGATAAGCCTTTATAGGGTGGTTGTTAAATATGCAGACCCTAATCTAATCATCTTCTTGGTGTCTGTCTGCCTGCAGCCAGCAGCAGTTGAGACGGTGCCAGTCGGAGCTGAACAAGCAGGTGAAGCAAAGCAGCAGCGTCATTCAGGAGAAAGTGCCCTTTAATGACACCAGTAAGTGACTGGGATTGTCCCTGAGCAGACACCTGCTTGGCCCAGGATTTCACCGACACTCACCATAGGCATGACTGTTGGAGGAAGTTTAATGATCCATTTAAATGATAATTCAACAGCTTTAGGTTTAAGTGCACACGTTTGAATTTATTGTCAAAATTATACAAACAGCCTGAAATGTTTAGATAAGAATAGGAAATCCCTTTATTGTCCCACAATGAGGAAATGTGTTGTTTATACCAGCAAAAAAGATTATAGAAAAAAATTGTCACGCAAATGTGGACCTTGCTTGACTTATTTAATGAATAATTCTACATTCAGACCGAAATCACTGGAAGCACCTAAAAGCTTCTGCTGCTTCATTTTTCATGCTTGTACACATTAAGGTCAGGCATCCAGTAAAGTGTGTCCAGCATCTGCTGCTTCTGTGTTCAATGGCAGAGAGCGGTTTTGCTATATTTGCTGTGATCAGTGGGTAAAAAGCAGTTTTAAAATGTTTTTAAGTGAGAAAGTCCACCTGAAAACATAATCTGTGCTGTCAGTTCATCAAGATTACGATCCTGCCTTCAAATATTATTTCTCTGTCGGAACCGCTCAGACCCCCATACACCGGAGGTGCGCTGTCACTAGAAATCCTGTTCAAAGGCAGCCTCTGGCCCAGTCGCCTCTTTTCGGTTTGCTGTGGCGGCTGGAAGGCGGTTTTCATGTACGTAATCCAAACGGCACCAGAATAATAAAATTGAACATATTTTGCCAGCAGGTTTCAGCATTTTAAGTTAATTTAGGCGTTAATAAAATGTTTCAGAGGAGTGATCATAGCGCTCTGCATCAGCAGTACTGTGTCTGTCTCCCTGTCAGCTCCCAGATCAGATTCTCTGATTGGTTGATGTGGCGCGTTGAGCAGCAAAGGTAACATTTTTCCAACTCCAGCAGATGCTGCTTTTGAGGCGCATCAGATGCTCAGAAGCTCATGACGCGCTGCAGGACCTTTTGCTGCACTTTGATGTGCGTTAACCATTGACTTTGAATGTAAACTAGCTGTTTCTGCAACGTGTGGTCTGAACGTCGTATAATGGATACCAGAAACATTAGTTTATATGTCTAACAAACTGCACCTTAGCAGCAACATTTTTGCTGCCATAAACATGGCCTTAGATTAATTATAGGACCCAGTCTGATTTCCTTTCCGTGTAGAACTAATTAGATATTGCTGTTTTATGGCTCAGATCCATCCTGGCATTTTCAATAAGGGTAAGGTTGGGGTTAGGAGAGAGAGAGACCATACAGCAGTCAGTAATCAGTTTTGATGTATGTTTTGGATCTTTTTTTTTAAAGAAAATTATTCTTGTCAGATGAGGAAAAAAAGAGCTGTTTTTCCAAAATGATAAAATATGTGTTTTGAGGAGTCGAATGGAAGCTTCAGAATTAGTGGCTCTGTGCTGCTCTGTCAAACACGGAGGTAGTAGCAGCATGCTTGTTCCAGTTTCAAATTCTTCTAATATATCTCAAACAGTGTGACCCCCTGGTGTGCTCTGAACATAAAAGCTGGTTTTATAACGAGTACAGCATACTAACATTTATCCTCTGCAACAACTCTGACCCTTAACCCTGGGTGATTTTGGGGGTTGTGCTTCAAATCTGCTCTATGACAAGAAACCACACAACTTAAATGAACCTTTTTCTTCCTGTTAAGGGGAATCAAATATCAGGTCAGAAAATCACCAAGTGGCTCTTTGCTCCTTGCTTAGAGATGTTGATCCAGATTTCATTAGGAATGTCAATTTTAGCTTTATGTTAATAAATTTTGTTGTTACACCCATGATAAACTCCCCTCCTCTCCTGTTCTACAGAATTTAGTGACTACAACAGCCTAAATGTGCCGTCTCACAACCGTCGACACCAGGTTAGTGGGAACCAGGTCAGAGGTATTCAGTGCTTTCATAGGTGCAACATTACATTGAATTTTAGATTTAAAGTTCCTGTCTAAAAGGGATGCCCTTGTCTTTGTTAGGTTAACTCTTAATTTGTTTTAACAAACCATTATTAAAACAGCGTTTAATTTCTTTGGATGCAGCTTAAGGCTCGGGATGTAACAAGTCAGGCCTTGAGCTTCATCCAGGACCTGGTGGCTGCTCTGCTGAACTTCCACACCTACACGGAGCAGCGGGTCCACATTTATCCCCTGGATTCCTCCATTGAACCCATTTCTCCTCTTAACCAGAAGGTGAGGCAGATGTACATAAAAATGCAGCCATTTTAAAGATGACTAATTATTCTGGTTATTTATAAAGTTTTAAAAAAGGTGAAAATTAAGGTAGAGAGTTTTTGTCTCACCAGTTTTCTCAGTATCTTCATGAGAACGCTGCCTATGTGCGCCCCCTGGAGGACAGTTTCCTGCAGTTATACCAAAGCATCACAGAAGACACCGTCACAGTGCTAGTAAGATTCTAACCTTTCTGCATATTTGATCAATAATAAAAAAAAAAAAATCTCTAAATACATTACATGTTGAAATGAAGGAGACTGTGGTCACACTGAGGCATTTCGCTGAGACCTTCTCCTCCTACACCCACTTTCTACAAAAGATTCTTCCCTATCAGCTGAAAAGGTCAGCACCGTGTTTGAAAGAAAGCATGTTGGACAGTGAAGGAGGCTGAACCGATAACCATCATTTCTTCTTTTTTCATATCAGCTTGGAAGAAGAGTGCGAGGCGCCGCTTTGCACGGATGCCTTGACTGCTAAAAACCGGGACTTGCAAAGTGACATGAAGAAAGTAACGACAGTGTTTGAGAAACTGCAGAACTACATTAGCCTTTTGGCCTTACCAAGTGAGTTAACTTAGTGTCATTATTCAGCCTCGTTACTGTGCTGAATTATGGAGCAAGAGCTGTTTATTTTATTTATTTATTTTTCAAACATGCGATTATGTTAAGTGGAAAAATGTGAAGATGATCAGAAATATATATATATATATATATATATATATATATATA